TGTATATATATATATATATATATATATATATATATATATAAATATATATATATATATATATATATATATATATATATATATATATATATAGACCACTGTCACTCGGACACTGACACGGACTGGGACGGCACGACGGTGTGACGTCACACTGGCCTCCAACACGGCCTCCAACAGCTGCACCCGGCTGTGGGCACGGACACACCGGCTGCAGCCAGTAACGCTCGCCCCTGTGCTGGAGCCGCCCGCTGGCCACAGCAGCGACGGGGGCTGACAATCGTCCCGCACGGCAACGGAAAGGCCACACGACGGCAACGGGGGTGACTGCTGTGGTGGGATTTTCCGATAAATACGGGAATGGTTGTGAGCTGGTATTTGAAGAGAGAAGACCGGTTGATTTTGCGAGTGGGTTGATGGGCAGGCGAGGGTAATTAGTTGATTTTGTGACTGCATTTATTGACAGGCGAGGGTGATTAGTTGATTTTGTGAGTGCGTTGATGGACAGTCGAGGGTGATTAGTTGATTTTGTGAGTGCGTTGATGGACAGGCGAGGGTGATTAGTTGATTTTGTGAGTGTGTTGATGGACAGGCGAGTGCCCGTGGTTGACAGCGAGACAAGCCGGCTGCTGGATGTGCTGTGACAGTGTGTCGGTGCTTGTTGTCGGTGTCGGGTGGTGCAGCTGGCGGCGGCCCGCTGCCATACGGGAGCGGTCGGTCGGCAGGCCGCTCGGCGGCTCGTCCAGCCGGTAGTTGGTGTCAGATCTCTGAGGCCGGTGGGTCAGAGCCGGTGAGCCCGGTCAGGGCACGGCCGGAGCACGGCCACGGCCCCGGCGGCGGCACGGCGTGCTTGTCAGTGGGCCGGCCGTGACCTGGCGGTGACCGGTCGGTCTGTCTGCCGACCGACCACCGGTCGAGCCCCGACCGACAACTGGGACGGCACCGGTGGATGATCAGGGGGCGGACGGGACATTTGAGACTATTGAGTTATGGAAGACCATCGTTATTCGTTTGTCACTGCTAACGCTGCTGGCCGGCCGTGGCGGCTGGAATGGAGGGCCGGGCACGGGCCGGCCGGCTCATCCGCCGGCGGTGGGAGGCCCGGTGTCAGCTGTGGGTCACTGACCAGCACCGAACACTGCAGTTGTGAGGGGGACGGGTGCAGGCCATACAACACACACAGAACTGCAACAGGGAACTACTTACATGACACCAGTCAGAGTGGTCAAAACACATGTGCAATGTGCAGGAATCTCAGAAAAGGTATATGTGTGATCTGATCCCACGTAGTTATCCTGATCTTGGATCCGATGGGATCCTAGATCCAGCCAAATGGCTCGAGACGGCAGCTGATTTACCCGAGGCGGCTCTCAGACCTGATCCCAAATGACGGCGGGTAAAACGGTGTGTCGTATACAGGTTATCGTCCGCCCGGCACCGGGGAAGGCGGTGAAATACGGCGAGTGGCGATCCAGCCAGTCAGTGTGTGGCCGCCGGTTAACGGTGAACTGCCACGCTGGGCCTGTATTATAGATATATACGACACCTGTTGATGATGTGCACGGAACAGAAGGACCAGGCCTCGACGGCCGACGGTGTGCTCTGGAGCCGGGACCGCAGCTCGGCAGGTCACAGCAGCGGCGGCACAGCGGCGCAGAAACACCCCCCCCCCCCCTCTCTGGTGGAGCCAAACTGTACTCAGGTCACCAGGACATTACCACAAATGAGGTAAGCTCCGAAGGTAGCTGTTTTCCAGGACAAAGACTGGACATGTGTAAAATGTATTAGTCAAAGCGCAGCCGATTATCAGTATCATGGCCAAGTGATAACTAAAATCTAAAAAGCCGTTCCGGAGTCGGAGTCAAGGCAGCTTGATCGACACGGACTCCGACTCCGACTCCCAATCGGTCGGTAGCCTTATTACCCCCCTGTACGAAGCAGAGGACACAAAACATGGCGGCGCGCTCCCGGGCCGTGACGGCGTGCTTCCGTGAACCGAGTCGGACAGACGCGAGGACACTCGTTATGACCGGTGCCGTAAGAGCTCTACACAATTCAGTAGCATCCAGCTGACTATATCCGACCGTTGGATAGCCGGCTATATCATACCCAGGGTTACATTATCCACAATACCCGACCGGTAATTACCCACTACATCGCATCACTTCATCCAATTACACACAATACTCGCCCGGTAACTAATTGCCCTAGGCTACAGATGGTACAGCTGAAGCGTCTCCTCTCGTGTATTTAGTAGACATCTGCCTGACCAATCTGACTGACTGAATGAACTGACTGACCAATCAGCTGACGGACCAATCAGCTGACGGACCAATGGTCAGCTGACTGACCAATGGTCAGCTGACGGACCAATCACCTGACTGACCAATCAGCTGACTGACCAATGGTCAGCTGACGGACCGGTCGCCGCCCCGGGCCGGGTGACGGCCGCCGGCCGGGACCGGAGCGGGCGGGCGCGGCGCGGCCGGCCGCCGTCTGAACTGGCACCGCGTGTATACTGCCAGCTCGGACGGCAGCTAGCCAGTAGTCGAGTAGAGCTGTCCGTGTGGGACGTGTCACAACACGCTCAGCACGGCGCTCAGCACCGCCGAGCCGAGGTGCAGCCAGACCCGGGGGACGGTCACGTGACCGAGCCGTCCGACTCCACCGGGGGACGGTCACGTGACCGAGGCCGGCCGTGCCGCCGGGACCAGGCGCGGTGAACCGAGTCGGACGATCAGAGACGTGTGTTCTACATACAGAATAGCGTAATGCCACGATCGGTTGTCTCTCCAGCACATCACTTTTCACTGTCCAATTACCCACAATACCTGCCCGGTTATTACCCACTGCATCACATACCACCGTCCAATTACCCACAATACCTGCCCGGAAATTACCCACTACATCACATCTCCCGTCCAGCCAATTACCCACAATACCCGCCGGGTAATTACCCACTACATCACATCCGTGGGCTACTACTACATCTACACTACTACTACACTGAGAAAAAAATTATTCCCCTGGAACACCTTTAAGGGTGTGTACCAAACTGCACCTCGCTGGGGTGTCAGACGGGTGTCACTTTTGACACCAATACAGGTGTCATTGGGAATGAAACACCGGGTGTCTGACACCCTTTTAGGTGTCTGACACCCTTTTGGGTGCATATCCAGGTGTCTGACACCCTTTTGGGTGCATACCCAAAAGGGTGTCAGACACCCGGTGTTTGATCCCCAATGACACCTGTATTGGTGTCAAAAGTGACACCCGTCTGACACCCCAGCGAGGTGCAATTTGGTACACACCCTTAAAGGTGTTCCTAGAGTGTCCATTGGATGCCAAAAAAGGTGTCGACACATTCTTACATTTATTGCAAAACAGGCATATAGCATACATGCATGGCATTCCTATCTTGTATACAGCAACAAACTATTAAGTACAAAAAATATGGGCTCTATATTTATGGAAAAATCCTATGAAAACTCACCGAAACACATCGAGTCCATTCACAGTGAGAAGTTGCTCGCATTTCAACAATGATAATTAACCGTCGATTATCTCCAACCAGATGTTATTCCGCAGTTCACTTGCTTTCGTTTCCATGGTGCAATGGGCTGTGTTGTCATCCTCACTCCAGACTTCAAATTTCACCGAGTAGGTACCGCCCGCCTCGTCATTTGAATAAACACGGAGCAAGCTACAAATAAAAGCTAAACATTATCATTAACGCACAATCACTTGAAGAAGTACACTGCGAACAACGTTCGGCGCCACTATATCCACATAAATTCAAAAAAGCCCTGCCATCCATCACTCACACCGCACACGCACCACGTGGCCACTCCGCCGCAAACTGATATCTAACGGCTTTCCCGCAAGGTGGCGCTTTTTTATCTTCGCATGGTTGACGCCGTGACCACCACACAAATGACGTCACACAATGCAGCTTGCTGATTGGGTAATGATTCAAACCACTGGACCTGCTGTGGTTTCTAGCAGTGCTACGGAGTCAGAGTCGGAGTCTGATGGAGTTGGCAGTTCTGGCCGGAATAGGAGTCCATTTTGGAAGACAGAGCGGGAGTCCGAGTCACTGAAAATCCGTTAGACGACGCATCCTTGGTTCCTAACACAAGTGACGTCAGAACAATTTATGTGATGATTTGGGCTCGAATACACGACAGCTTTCAAACATTTCATGACTCTGGAATGTTCCTCAACAAATAATGACAACACACGTGAAGGTATCACAAGGGTATCAGATAACTTTTAAGGAACATTTTTTTACACCTTTTGAAGTGTTGATGGTTTAGGGTGTTTGACACCCGAATGGATGTTGGTGTAGGACATCCATTAATGTGTCTTTCTGAATCCCATTATGGTGTGTTTAAAAGCGCGTTGCACTTGAAGGTTGTCATCGCGGTGTTGTACACCTCCATGATTCCCAAAACAACATTTTTGACACCAATCTGGGTGTTATGACACTGCAATGATGTCCGACACCCGTGAGACACCCCATGGGAATATTTTCCCTCATTTTTTCACGCTGTTTTTGGTGTCAGATCCTTTTGCAAGTGTCAATGTGACACCTCTAGCAGTGTCGGACACTTTTAACATTCCGCTTCAATAAATGGCAACACCTGTGAAGGCATCATAAGGGTGTCAGATGCTTTTAAAAGAACATTTTTGACACCTTTTAGGGTGTTTGATACCTTAGAGTGTTTGATACCCGGATGGGTGTGGGTGTCGGACACCTATTAAGGTGTCATGCTGAATCCCATTAAGGTATATCTAAACGCTCGCATGCGAACGAACACTTGAAAAGGTGTCATCGTGGTGTTGTACACCTTAATGATTCCCTAAACAGCATTTTTCAATACCAATCTGGGTGTTCGATGACACCTCCAATGGTGTCTGACACCCGTAAAACACCCCCGGGGAATAATTTTTTTTTTTCTCAGTGTACTACAACTCCATCACTACACTAGAGCGGACACCGGGGCCGTGTGCCGGCTGACCGGCGCCGCTCTCAGTGCCGGCTGGTGCAGCACACACGGCAGCAGTCAGCTGGCGGCCCCGGCCGACTGGCTCGGCCTCTCTGCAGTCAGCTCATCACTGCACGGTCGGTAGTGCAGCGCATCAATCCCTCCACCAATACACTTCGACCCCATCGCCTTCCTGGCTCAACAGCTGACGGTACAGCTCCTCTGTGGACAGAGCAGAGACACGTCTGAGGTGGACACCTCACACACAGACAGACACACAGACAGCGGTACAGCCATGTCCACACACCGCCGGCCAGTGACGTCACACACAGGACAGACGGCTGACGTGACGTCACCGTCGGCCGTGGTGGCCGTGACGCGTCACGTCACCGTCCGTGACGTGGCCTGCGGCGGTGGTCGAGTGTGTGTGTCTGAGAGGCCGGTGGCGCCGTGCAGCGTCTGTTGTGAGGGACTGACTGGTCAGAGGCGCGGCGCGCGGCGCCCTCTCACCTACCGGGGACATTGAGACAGATGATACGGGACCGGCCAAAACTGTCCCGGCCCAGGTCCGTCTCCTTCAGGGCGGTCAGCACGGCCCGGGTGGTGTCTGCCGTGCAGTGAAGGTACAGAACCCACAGCTTCCGACACGACTTCACCAGTCTGTAACAGAGCAGAGCAGCAGAGCCGTCACACACAAACACAGCGGCACCAGTCGGCCGGACGTACGAGTCAGTGTCAGTGTCAGTATTTCAGTGTCGGTGTGTTGGTGTCAGTGACAATGCGTCAGTGTCAGTGTGTCACTATCAGTGTATCAGTGTGTCAGTGTGTCAGTGTGTCAGTGTGTCAGTGTGTCAGTGTGTCAGCGTGTCAGTGTGTCAGTGTGTGTCAGTGTGTCAGTGTTAGTGTCAGTGTGTCAGTGTCAGTGTGTCAGTGTCAGTGTGTCAGTATCAGTGTGTCAGTATCAGTGTGTCAGTATCAGTGTGTCAGTGTCAGTGTGTCAGTGTGTCAGTGTCAGTGTGTCAGTGTGTCAGTGTCAGTGCGTCAGTGTGTCAGTGTCAGTGTGTCAGTGTCTGACAGGACACCCCTCGCCAGTGTCTGCTGACTGACCTGGTGACCGCTGCTGCTGTGAAGGCCGTCTCTGCCGGCCGCTGGCGGTCCCCCAGTGTAAGGTACTCCAGCCCGGGGCAGCTGCTGAGACTGTCCAGCACGGCGTCAGGGACGCCGCCGGACAGGGTGAGCCACCGCAGCTCAGGGCACCTGGTGAGAGGCTCCAGGCTCACGGCGTCAGGGACGCCGCCGGATAGGGTGAGACTCTCCAGCTCAGGGCACCTGGTGAGGGGCTCCAGGCTGCCGGTCGTGAGATCAGGCCATTCTGGAAAACACACAGACACACATACAGACAGGATCAGTCGGCAGGAATATATGTAAATATACGGAAAAAACGAAACAGCTATGAATTCGCATGGTTTTATGGACACAGACGATGATATAACAATGGTAATGTATGATATGCAGTCAGTTCAACCAATGCATTGAACTGCATTGAACATTGCATTACAATCATTATGTGTACGTTCAACTAAGTCTAAACGAATATGTCACCGATTCCCTTCCCTCACTGATTCACACCATGTTGGAGCTCAATTAGCTTCATTATTTCACAAATCACATTGGCTATGCATCCAGAGGCGGATCCAGCTCAGAGTTTGGGGGGGGGGGCAAACCATAACAATTTATCGATTCTTTCCATGCATCGTCCATAGGCGTAATGTTAAAATTATGCCGTTGGGAGGGGCAAATGCCCATTCCCCCCCCCCCCTGGATCCGCCACTGTATGCATCACACCTGTCTCAATGAGGTCCGACAACGACACACCTCAATTCGGTGTCCGCCATTCCCTGAGCTCGTACATCAGCGGCATGTCCGTGCTGCCGCTGCTCACCGTATATATACAGTATTCTGACCGTCCGTCCCAGGTCAGCCAGGTGACTGATGGTGTCGGCAGTCACCCCCTGGAGCGACACTGACAGATCACCCCTGTACCATTTCGGCCACCTCGGCTCCGTCACCTCCGGCCCTGTCGGACAGAGCTGTGTCAGCTGACTGCAGTCGGACAGAGCTGCCGCCAGCTCCCCGTTGCACCACTGACACCAGAGTGTCAGACACTGACACAGCCAGCACTGACATAGCCGAGCGGCCGCACAGCAATTTTTTAGCACCAGCAGTTATATGTAGAATGTAAATATGAACATAATATCATAATATGTATATGCGATAAGTATATGCATAATACAGTAGTCTATGAAACTACTTATACTACTCTTATTGGTTGCACTATGTCTATAATCATCCCTCATTGGAAATAACTGCTCAAGTGCATAGGCGCGGGAGCCGGGGGGGCAGTGGGGGCAGCTTGCCCCCCCAACTCTAGGGCCGTGGGGGCGGTGCCCCCACAACTTTGAGACGAAATACTGCACTTTTTTTGCAAATGTTTTTCTTTTTTTGTTGAAAAAGCCAAGGGATGAAAAATAAGTGGCCTAAAACCGGTGAGAAAACTAGATTTGGGGGTACCCTAGGTTCATCTCCATTATGGTGTGCCCCCCCAGTCTGAAAGTAGTTCCCGCGCCTATGCTCAAGTGTTTACTAATTGTAGCAATGCCCATGCATTCCTTGTTGGCCGCCTTCGATCGTGGCGCCACCTATACTCTGTATAACCGCCGCGCCAGGGCCGCGGCCAGTCAGTCTCGTCAGTCTGCTCAGACTCGTCGTCAGCGAGCTCTCTCTATGTAGTCAGTCAGTGTCAGTCGTCGACCCAGACTAATCAATTTTGTTCGGAAATTTGCTGCTTGTGATATTGCAACTATAACTAGTACCTTGACTTTCTAATCACCCCGCGACATTACACTAATATTCCATGCATGCGCCACAAGCATGTGACCCTATGCAAGTGCATGCATTGACCCCCCCCCCTCCCACCACAATAATGTACACGATCAATGGTGGAAATTGCTAGTTGAGGCTGATTGGTTCGTCCATATGCCATCTTCGCTGACCATTTGCATATACCGGCATTACATGTGTGATTTGCGGTATCTCACCTCTGACATTGAGGCGCCTGAGGCCCTCCGGCAGCTGCCCCCTCAGTAGCGGGAGGTCGGCAGCGGTGACTGATAGGTCCTGCAGCCCACGGCACCTGGTGAGGGGCTCCAGGCTCACGGTGTCAGGGATGCCGCCGGACAGGGTGAGACTCGTCAGCTCAGGGCACCTGGTGAGGGGCTCCAGGCTGCCGGCCGTGAGATCAGGACAGTCTGGAAAACACACAGACACACATACAGACAGAAACAGTTAGCTGTAATATATGTCGATATATGACAAAACGAAAAAACACCTAATAATTCTCATGGTTTTATGGACACAGTAGACAATGGTAAGACAGTGCTATTATATGATACTTATATGCAATGTTAAGCAAATACATTGAACTTCATTGAACAGTGCAACACAATTGTTATGAGTATGATCAACTAACTCTGAACGAATATGTCACTGAGTGAACAGTCCTCCATTTTGGAGCTCAATTGGCTTCATTATTTCGCAAAGCACATTGGCTATGTATCACTTCTGTCTCCATTAGGTGCGACACCGGCACACCGTTACTCGGTGTCCGCCATTCGCTGAGCTGGTATATCAGCGGCCTGTCCGTGCTGCCGCTGCTCACCGTATATCTCCAGTCGTGTGACCGTCCGTCCCAGGTCAGCCAGGTGACTGATGGTGTCGGCAGTCACCCCCTGGAGCGACACTGACAGACCATGAAACCACGGTTTCCATTCCGGCCACCTCGGCTCCGTCACATCCGGCCCTGTCGGACAGAGCTGTGTCAGCTGACTGCAGTCGGACAGAGCTGCCGCCAGCTCCCCGCTGCACCACTGACACCAGAGTGTCAGACACTGACACAGCCAGCACTAACACATCCGAGCGGCTGCACAACGATATTTTTAGCAACAGCATACATACGTAAATATGCAAATATGAGCAACATAAGTAGGGGAAGTTGGGGCAATGCCGGAGTTGGGGCAAAGCCGAAATTCGAGATATTTCGAAAACCGTATGACATGGATGCCACCTGTCAGTGATGCTCTGAAGCTTAAGTGACTACCAATTATCGCATGTTTGTTACCAGTCGTCATTCGGAATACTTCGGCTGTGAGGGCGCCAAGAGCGTTTTCAAGGTACGTTTCCTTTGTACTACATGCGTCTTCGAAGCTGCATTTCCTACTCATTATGCTACCGTTTGTCTGGTCAATTCGGTCAAGTAATCTTCAGCACGTCTTTGCATAAGTGTGCTGCCTATTTGAAATTTATACAGCACGTTGAAAAGTTATGGGCCTGCAAATGAAAGTATGGCTGGCTGGGGTAATGCCGAAAACGTGCAATTACGCGCGCTAAAGCACGCTACGTGAACTTTACCGCTGTAGAATAGCAACGCGTATTTTTAGTCACACAAATTACACTTTTAACCGACACAACGGCCTGTTACCATAAGGAATGATTTAGGTACCTGGCCTTTTCTTATTATATCACACAATTATAACTTCCAGTGTGCACCAAGCGTCCTCAATAGAGGTGGCAAAAGATGAAAATTTTGGGAACCAGACTCGAACCAGACCCGGCTGGACATTTCTGGAACCAGTCGGACCCGGTATTAGTTGGGATCGGAACCAGTTGGACCCGTTCCCCAAAAGTCAATTAAGTTAATACGAACTACTTGTAGGCATTATTAGTTGCATTATGTAAAACAGCTTATGTCCCACTGGCAATACCTACTCATGAGCTACTGTGTGCAAAGAAACATTCACTTCATTCACTCCATATTTTGCAATAATGTGTAGTGTGCAAGATAAGTTTGTGGTAGGACCCGGTTGGACCCGTCAGAAAATTTCCAGGAACCGGTCTGTACCCATATGGGTCGAGACTGGTTCTTTAGACCGGGTCCTCGGGTCCACATTTTGCCACCTCTAGTCCTCAAGCTCTAAACGCGTGTCAGCTTTGACGAATTCTGGATAAAATTTGAGATAAAATAGCAAAACATCAATTTCGGCATTCCCGTAGATCATTTCTCCCATTTTCGGCTTTCCCCGCAGTCCGGGGCAACGCCGAAAAAGTCACTTCTTTGATATTTTTAGTTTGTGCGCTTAACGGTATGCGAATTCATCAAATGCGCCTGGTGTGTTTGAAAGGCAAAAGACTGGTCTCTCGAATGACGCCAACAAGAATAGCTTATGTTGTCTACCTTGCGTGCTACGGGCGTCAGTAAAAAAGTATTCGGCGTTCCCCCAACTTCCCCTATTACGATTTTTGCAAGGCACATTGGCCTAGGCACTGGGCAGCCAGTCATGGTATAGTAACGGATCAGGTTGGTAGACAGCATAAATATATGGTTCGCAGTGGTTGCAATGAAACCATTTCAAATTACCATAATTGCTACAATAATATTTCATGCATGCACTTGATGCTCACACTATATGCAAATGCATGCATTGCATCACTCTAACAATACCATGTAACACAAACAAGGCTGTAAGATGTTGGCTGAATTTGATCGGTTCGTCCATTTTCCGTCTCCCTGTCCATTTGTTTATCTATATGCATTGTCCATTATACCGGCATTACATGCATGATCCGTGGTATCTCACCTCTGATATTGAGGCGCTTGAGGCCCTCCGGCAGCTGCCCCCTCAGTCGCGGGAGGTCGGCGGCGGAGACTGACAGGCGTTTCACAGTCTCCCGTGAGCTCCGCAGCTCCGTCAGTTCGCTGTCACCGACTCCGGCCGGAAGGATGACAGTGTTTGGCTCCACCCTGATGATGGCACCACGAAGTTGACTTGGAATAGTAGTTATTTGTGCTGGAAAGGTGATTGAACCAATGTCAGGCATTAGTCTAGCTCAAACATAGTACACTTACCTACAGGTGTAGAAAACACAAAGTGAAAACTGTTCGTGGCTACAATGCTGTGATAATTCCGTGTCTGAGTGAGTATGTACTTTATCAAAACGATGTGAATTTCATAAATTACGGCGACTTTCCATAACAGAATATTCAACAAATAAAATGATAATGGGTCTTTGACATATAAAATAAAAATCGCAATTAAATTAGTAGATTATATTCCGAACTAAGACATATTTTCATGATGTCAATTGATCAATCTGACAGCTTTTGAATCCTTTTCACTTAACCCTCGCCGGCCGAGGGGGGGGGGCGGGTGCCGCCCCCTATAGGGTTTTTTCGCGATAGCTCCGAACACGCTGGCGATAGAGAGCTGAAACTTGGCATACCTGACCTTTGATCCAAGCCGGATCTTTTGACACCAACCGCATTTTTGGGTCAGGTCAGGTCACTGACCTATGACGTCATAAGTGAACCTCTGCACGGTCTTCAGATGTCGCAACTTCGCAACGCCCTCACTGCCAGAGGAGATGTCACAGGGAAATGAAACTTGCAGGATCTAGTATCCATTATGAGTCCCACAACTTGTATATCTCGGATCTTTCCTAAAGGTCATATGAGGTCAGGTCATTTTCGTGACCTCACCATTATAAGTCAATGGGGAAAAATGAAAACTGCTATTCTGGCGCCGGGAACGATCTCCAACTATCTCAAGCACACAGAATCGTGATTTGATGCACTCCTTGCAAGGTTAGATGCGTCACTTTTGCAATGTTGACCTTGCGTGACGTCATTTATGACGTCATCAAGGTCATATTAGTTTTTCGTCAATAACTCTTGATCAAATTGAGCTAGCGAGTCGGGAAAGCCACCAATGGACTCAGGAAAACCTGCCGAATCGAATGATATGCGACATGACCTCTTTCGACCAACTTCGTGACCTGGGGGCGCTGACCTGACCTTGACCTGAGGTCAACACCCCAAGTTGACCTGACCCGGACAAAAAGTATATCATTCGACGCGCCTGAGCGAGACGAACACGATGCTGCCAAAATCGGCGCTCTGCGGCCGTTTTTTGCGAAGTTATTCACCAAAAACTGAACCGTACCTTGGGGCACTTGACCTGACCTCAGAGGTCACCGGTTGACCTAGGACCTTAAAATCGGGTACCAATCTCTGCGTCTCGTAACGGCGCACACGCTCGTTTTTTCCGCGACGCGCTAGCTCCACCAGGGGCGAAACGGCGAGGGGGGGGGGTCGTACCCGCCCCCCCCCCTCGGCCGGCGCGTATGTAGAAAACCAATAGGTCCGGCGAGGGTTAACCCTATTAGTGGCAGGCTCCTGGCTACCCCTATTAGTGGCAGGGGGGCTGTTTACGACCCCCCTTGATATCTCGAGATCTAACGGGCCGATTTTCGAAATTCAAACGGCATTCGATTTCGCTCAACGTGATCTACATTTCTAAAAAATAAAAAAATAAAAATGTTAATAGGGGGTAGAGGGGGGTAAAAACGTGCAAATTGCAGATACATTTTAGACTGTTTATCACGGCCAGGTTTCTGAACCAATCTTAACGCAACTTTTGCCGATCGATAGAGAATGAACCAGGAATTCACATGGATCCTAAAAATATGCATTTTCAAAAATCATAGGCGGATACAGATCATTGAGATTGGGGGTACACAAAAAGTATAGTAAATAAGGTTTTTGTTGGTACTGTTTCTAAAAAGGGTAGTAATGGTCTTGTTATGTTACAATTTTCTTATGAGAGAACGACTTCAATTGTATTGGTCATGCATAGGCGGTGTCAGGGCACCTATGTTGGGAGGTAAAACATAACCCCCCTTTTTGGACGCCTGGATCCGCCTATTATAGCAAAAACGTGTCAAAAGAGGATGCACAATAACTGTATATGTTATAACATAATACCTTTCATTCACTGTTCGTAAAACTGGTGCAGCATCGTGATCTTCGCCCAAATGACTCGCTTCACGAATAGGACCCCCCAATTCCCAGTGCTCTGGAGCCGCCCCTGGTAAAGTTATGAACTTGAAATTTTCAGGGAATGTGCCCAATTTAGTATTAGGAAAAGTCAAAAAATTTCAGCATCGTAGCTTTAGCGGTTTCGGAGATATTCCCGAAAAACCTGAGGGGTGGATAAAAACACCCCCCTGCCACTAATAGGGTTAAGTATTTTGTTCAGCTATTATGTGTAGCTAATTATTTCAACTTTCCATCGTTATAAATTTTATAGCGTAAATATTACGTCCATGGCAGGCCCAAATTATTGACCAGCACCATTCACCACACGAATTGTCATCCTACGGCTTACCAAATACCATGGCTTATGGCTTCCGTCTTACCTTAGGATGAGGGAGGCAGCATTACCTACAGTACATGTAATATGTGTTGTATCCAGTTATTCCTGGTTTGATTTAGGCTTCAGAGTGTCGGGGATAAACTGCTTCCCCACGTTATTTATAAACATTTGCTAGAAAAAAAATAGACAGTACCTTAGAGCAAAAATCACAAGCAAGGAACGGTGCCGCCGGCCTGTTTCTCCGTTCTTCGTGTCCCCGTGTCGCCCCCTGCCCCGTTCAGGAGCGCCCGGCAGCGCCACCTGCACCTGACCAGTCCGGCAGCGTTTGGGGTCGCCGCGCACCGCCGACAATCAGCTGACGCGGCCGGCAGCGCGTCTCAAGGTCACTGGAGGTCAGCCGGGCCGCGGCCCGCCGGGGTGGCCGTGACGTCACAGCCAGAGAACGCTGAGCGCCGGAAGTCGGAACAGCTACTGTTGTTTATCCCTTCCTAGCCATTCATATATGAGTAACTTCAATCGTTGCTCACCATCCGTGACTAGTAGCGTAATCCGTGACCCCAGCTCCGTGGCCAGGTGACTGATGGTGTCGGCAGCCACCCCCTGGAGAGATACCGACAGACCACTCCCGTACCGTCCAGGCCACCTCGGCTTCGTCACCTCCGGCCCTGTCGGACAGAGCTGTGTCAGCTGACAGCAGTCGGACGGAGCTGCTGCCGGGTCGGGAGGCGGCTGACACTGTGGTGTCAAACCCTGACACAGACGACACTGACAAAGCCAAGGTCGATCGGCACTGTTGGACAGTAATTGAACATTGTGCACAATGCATGCACTACGCTTATACATGCGTCAGTTAATACAGTTCAGTACATACAGGTCATATAGTCTCAGTACAGTCTGTCTTAAAAGTACTGCGCAAAGTGACGGTGGATCCATCATGCCTGACCGATGAAAGACTGCTAAATTTGAGTCACCCCGAAGCAATGGACATCCTCGTCCCTTCCCCAGGTCAATTGGTTCGGTGACTTTCAAATTATAGCAGGCCCTTCCTCGGTCAGGCTTGGTGGATCCACTGTCACTTTGCGCGGTACTTTTAAGACAGACTGTACATACCCGAACGTTGTTTCTTCATTAGACAAACACTATTCTTTTGAATGGTGTTTTTCTATTGAAAAACAAACTGAGGGTGGTTCCTTTTCGGGAAAGGACTCTCGTTTGGTGTGGGAGATCCGGACACCTTGATAGGCTTCCAAACGAACCGATAGGTTGAGCGTGTCACACGGAGTGGTCCAGGGTTCGATCCTGGGCCCGGTCCTATTTTTGGTATTTACCAACGACTTGGCAGCCACAACATGTACCTGCTGAGAAAATCGTTATGTATGCGGACGACGCCCAGTTCCTCCACTCTGACTTACCGAACAACCTCTCTGACATGAAAATACGTTTGGAAACCAGCATGTCTGCTGCTCTAAAATGGTTTACCCAGAACAGATTAAAAATCAACCTCTCTAAAACTGAGATGATCATGGTAAAATCGCAACGATTGAAAACCGAAACTGGCTTCCATATCCAGTGGCGTAGCCAGAAATCAGCGAAAGGGGGGGCCATGGTGCTCGAGGGGGCGACTTTTTCCCTTGAGAGGGGCGCCATAGTGAGCTAGTGACAGGGGGTCAGTCTAAAATGTAGCGTCATATATTCATGCATGATTTACTAGGTGTTCCTACGGAACCGGCACGAGTATCAGAACCAGGTTTCGCTGATTTTTCATGAAATCCAATTAATGCAATTTGCAGCTCAGTGTTTTTTATCAAAAGCGATAAAAAATCTTTATGCATATTTAGCACGATATAGGAAACGAACTCAGGCTACGGACATGTTATTCTCATAATACACACCCATTCGAATTCGAAACGGTAAAATATGCGTTGATCGATTGGCACAATCTTTATTCTTTGCAAAAAAAAAAAAACATACAGGTTCACTCACTGAACCAAAATGACCTGTGGACTGCAGCCTCTCAAATATCTTCATTGAGGGCCAGTTCAATTTTGCTACCTCTCTATAAGTACCTAAAAGTTACCGATTACCTATAAGTTAACCCGCGCCGTGCTGGTGGCCTGTGCTTTCCGTGTCGTGCTGGGGGGGGGGGTGTTTTCACGTCCCCCCTCTAACTCGGCTCCTGGGCCACGTAGCGACACGCGGTAAGGGGAAATCGAAAGAGCGTCAAAAATAATGACGGAAAGACTTCGTTTCAATTTTTAGGTCAGGTCAAAGGTCAGGTCACTAGAGGTCATCAAAGGTAAAATTGAGTCCATTTCAACAATTTTGGAAACTGCCAACGGCTAACTCGGGAACCAATAGAGCTACAGCGCCGCGGAAAAGCGTATTCGATAGCCCTTTTACAGGCTTTTCTGAATATTGCTCTCGGATTTGATCTCAGGTCAATGGTTAAGCCTCCAGCCAGAGGGAAAAAATTCCAAAAATAACAGTTTTTATGAAAAGCGTTTTTCTGCAGTAACATTTGGTTCAAGACAGTGACGATATTTCTTTTGCCTGCCTCGTGTTCCTCTCGTCGAGACGCGTCGAATGAACTATACGTTGACCTTGAAAGGTTATTTTAAAAATTTGACCGCAGGTCAAGGTCATGACCTGACCGTAAAGGGCCATTCTGCAGATCAGTCGATCCGTATCGTCGAGCTGACCACATCTGACGTGTTTTCACCGCTCTAGCACGTCTCCATTTAAAGATGAAGCCAAAAAAACCGTTTATGGTGATAAAATAGGTGACCGCTTATGACCTGAGATGACCTCAAGGGCACATAAAAGGACACATGTGCATTTTTACGATTCAGTGTGCTATGTTTACCTATGAACCGATGTTTAAGGGGTTTTAAACGACATTCGTCCAAAAGAGGCGCATTTCCTTTTCTCCCACTGACTTGAGGTCCCAAAATTGACCTGACCTTAGGTCACAGACATAAAAAGTCCGAGATGAACATTTTATGCATATTGTTAGTCTTATCAATCTCTAAAAGTTTCAAAAGTGATCGTTCTGTCGGTGTAGCTATAGCGGGTCTTTTAACTTTTTTTAGGTAAGGTCACTTGACGTGCCCTAGTGACCTGACCTTGAACGACCCTCATCTGAAATTTAACAAGCTGTGTAGAAAAGATGTATGAACAGGTGTACCAAAGACAGCGGAGGCGCTGCGCGACGCCGTTTTTGAGATGTTCGCGAGGAAAAAAACCTAAGGGGGTGTACCCCCCCCCCCCTCCAGCACGGCGCGGATCAATGGGAGACAGTTGAAATGCTCTTCTTCTGAACGAAAACAACCTCAACCATCGGGATGCAGGTAAATATGACACATTTAATCAGTAAATGTCAGTCGTGATGTGACCACTTTTATGTTACTGAGGTCATCTCAGGTCATGAAAGGTCTCCAGTAGATTTTGGACAATAACTTTTGATAGAGATATGGTAGAGCAATGAAACACCCTATATAATTATTTTCCTTCTCGAAAGTATGGATCGACTAATATGCAATATGACCTTTACCGGTTAGGTTATGACCTTTACCTTAGGTCAAATTCTCAAATGCCCTTTTAATGTCAAATTCTAGTTCATTTGACTTGTCTGTCTCGAAAAATGGAACACGATGCTGGTTGAACTAATCTCATGCAGGTCTGAGCAAAATGTAAACGTCCTCCGCGAAAACGTATATTTTGAGGCTAAAACGTTTACCTTAGGTCAAATCTGAGATAATCAATAAGAGAGAGCATAAAAAAGAGCTATCGAATATGCGCTTTGCTGCGGCGCTGTAGTTCAATCTCTTTCTGAATCCTGACTTATGCGCCGCTTTGTCAAAAAATGTCAACATCGGCGAAATTTGATTTTCGGTTGTCGCTGGTGACCTGACCTTCGACCAGTTCGACCTAGCCTTAAAATGATCTAAGTAGTTTTGTAATAGTTTTTGACGCTCTTTCGAACGCCGCCTACTGCGTGTCTCGACGTGGCCCACAAGCTGAGTTAGAAGTGGGTGTTCGAACACCCCCAGCAGGTTCAATAAAAAAACGCTTACGCTGGGGGCGGCACCCCACTGCTAGGCGCTGTCGGCATCGCAATAATGGGCGGCACAGCGCTGAGGGGCGCAACTTGCATTGAGGGGTGGCATTGTACGGTGAAGGGGCAGCGTCGCGTTGAGGGGCGGTATCGCAACGAGGGTGGCACTTACAAGGCTGCCTAATAAGGAACGCTTCGCTTGGCACATCCAAGCCCAGCTCGGCGCCGCCTAGCTGCTGCATCTTGAAAAGGGCCCTTGGTGTCGATGAGAAAGCCCCATTGTCAAAAAATTGCCTAGCGTCAGTGGTTTCGGGGGGGGGGGGGGGGCGACCGAAGTATCCAATTCAGTTTCGCGTCGTGACTACTGGAGGGCGTCAACGACCTCGGATAGGGCGAATGTGATCTTCAGAAGGGCACCGGGTGCTCTAGAGGGGTGCAATGCTTGGATGGGGTCACTGCTGCCTTCAGTAGGGCATCGGACGCTCTGGAGGGGCGCCATTGATCTCGGATGGTCCGACTGGGATTTTCAGAGGAGCATCAGTGGTTTCAGAGGGGCGCCATTGATCAAGGATGGGCCGACTGAAGCCCCGGTTCAGGTGAGCGCCAGTGGCTCTTGAGGGGCGCCAGCGACCTCGGATTGATGGGGCGACTGTGATCTTTAGAACGGCGTTGAGGGGCGCCATTGGGCATGGATTGGGCCACTGTTGCCTTCAGCAGGGCGCCGCAGGGAGGCTCTGGAGGGGCTTGAGCTTGGGTGGGCCGACTGTAGTCTCCAGGGGCGTTGTCTCGGATGGGGCGAATGTGATTTTCAGAGGGGTGCCGGGTAGTCTAGAAGGGCGCCATTGGTTTCAGAGGGCTGCCATCGATCTTAAGATGGGGCAGCTGTAACCTTCGTTTAGATGGGCGTGATCTTCAGAAGCGCGCCGGACGCTCTGGAGGGGCGTCATTGGGCTTGAATGGGGCGACTTTAGTCTCAAGCGGGACGACTTCAGTCTCAAGGGGGTGGGGCGCTAGTGGCTCTTGAGGGCGCTACTGATCTCGGATAGGGCGACTGTGATCTTGAGAAGAATGCGGGTGCTTTAGAGGGGCGCCAGTGGTTTCAGGGATCGATCTTGGATGGGTCGATTGGGGCAGCTGTGAACTTCAGAGGGGCGCCGGGTGCTCTAGAGGGGCGCCATCAAGCTTTAATGGGGCGACTGTTCCGTTTAGGTGGGTGCCAGCGGCTCTTCAGGGGCGCTATCGACCCTGGAGGTTCGGAATATTCTGGTTTCCGGAGGGGCGCCCTTCAACATTTGGGGGCTCAGGTCGTATTTGGGGGTGCCCTGGAGATTATTTAGGTGTCCAGGCACCCCCAAAGAGATATTGAGTTCGATCCCTGCCTGCACATCACTTTTTAATTCATGTTCTCTCTGTAAAACGGCATCAGCCTAGTCGGCGCTAATTGGGGCGCCATTTGGGCGGCTGGGCGGAAAGGGGGGGCCATGGCCCCCATGGCCCCCCCTGTCTACGCCACTGTCCATATCCATTTTGGAAACTCTCAAATTTTCCCGGTACAGTCGGTGAGGGTGCTGGGCGTCGCCGTGGACGACGCCATGACATGGGACAAAAACA